CTATGATCAAAACTTCTGTTTTAAAAATTTCTTTATAATCATGTTCACCATCTATTAAACAGTCTTTCATTAAATAAAAGAAATCTATCATTTCTATTTCCAGAGTTGAATAGGTGTGCAATATTAGTAACCTTCTCAATACATGTTAGAACAGAAAAAAGGAACAAAAGCATGAAAAAGCAGTGAGTTTTGGCTCCATAACAGCAGAACCGGGACTCTGTTTTCTATTTCTAGCCATTGAAAATGTGGTGCTAAATACGTGAAGAGATGATACTGATCACTCAGGTAGCTAGAGATGGTGAAAAAGCCGCAACAGCTCGTAAACAAAAACAATGAAGTTTAATTTGAATTTATTGTTTCCTTCGCAAATGTGAAACACTCACCATTTCTAAGACATTTGATGCAAAACTAAACTAAAAAACGATGTAAAAAACATCTGTGCTAATACGAGAGTATTTGGTAAATTTTTGTTTTGTTTTATTTAAGCTTATTATCATGTTTTCTTTAAACAAATTTGCTAGTATTTGTTGGTATTGATGTGGTTACTAACGATGTTGGATATGATCAGGATTGAGAGGATCATCGCGCTAGAACTTGTCAGAAATACATTACATGTGAGCTCAACAAGGTGAAAAAAGAGGGGTGGGTGGTTGTACCCTTAATTTGAGTGTAGAGAAGTTGTTTATCATGTTTTTTTCTGTGATATAGTACCTTGCTGTCACTAAATTTCTTAAGGTTAATCTTTAAAATTGAAAATACTGAAATACTGCTGCACTGCGGAGAAAAGGTGCTAAAATGTTTACTCTGCTTTCCCTTTTCTTCTGATCCAGATGATAGTGTTCAGAAAAATCTTCAACTCATAGAACATAGACACTTTCACATACAAAATTGAATGAGACTGTCGGAAGTCAGAAAAATAAAGATTTTTCGGACGGTTTTCATAAGTCCTGAAGCACAAAATCGTCCAGGACCTTGCGCAGAGTTTCGCTTTAAGAAAGCATTATAGAAGAAAACTGTGGGAACAAAAATTGTTCAATATCAAATTCTACACCAGCTCACGAAAGAAAATTTCAAAATTTGTAAGACTCGATTTTGAAATTAAATTTCACGTAGAGTTAGATGTTTAAGATGTTGTATTTTTGTACTTTTTGCAAAAAATCTAATTTCGTGAAATTTCAAAATTCTTCTCCAAATTGCTTTTCTGAAGCGAAACTGTGTGCAAGGCTTTTTCAAAATACTTTTTATAATAAAAGCCAAGTCAAAACCAAATTTTTCTGTTAAACCTTATCCGACAGCGATCTGTACAACATGGTCTCGGAACAAGTGTCTGATTCAAAAGAAAAAACGCAATGTGGAAAGAAAGAAAGAATTAGATGCCAACTACCCTTTGGGCAGATTGGAAATCCGACCGAGTGAAACGATAAACAGACGAAAATAGAATATTCAAAAAGTAAGATATGTCAACTGAATCAGCTATATCATCTGATTCATTATCATCATACATTCTGCTGTAGCTTTCATCATTTCACATTCTTTTACAATCCAGTTAGAACACTGCAATCCTCCAAGCAAAAACGACCCAATTTTTTGGGTTATTTATCTAGATTCAGGTCCACGTGCATCTAGATGTACGTGTGAATCTAGATAAATAACCCAAAAAATTGGGTCGTTTTTGCTTGGGCCTCTAGTAGTAAACGTTTGATGCATTCTATGGGTAGTAACGTTTCAGACTATAAATGCATCAAACTATACAGAAGTATAGACTGATAAATAGCATGTGACTGCTTAACAGGGCTCCGTATGGACTCAAATTTTTTGAGTCCAGTTCAGTCCATGGACTCTAGAAAAGCAGTATATTGAGTAAACAGTCCAATGGACTTTGCAAACTTCTGTATGCTGTAGGAGCAGTCTAAATTCTAAAAATGACTCGAGAAGAATGAGAGATATACCCACAAGGATGTGTCAGTCAAAGAATTAAAATAAAAATGAAATAACCATATCTCTCATTCTCTAGTCCTTTTTGGAATTTACTTTTATTCTATTATTTCTTTTCCTTCTCTGTTAGTATCATCGTGTGTTTCTTTTGTTTTAACTACCGTCAGACGGACTATTTCATATGTATTCGTTTCACTTTTCCCAAACTGTCAGTTCGAAGAGGACACCTGATTACATATATCTTTCAGTTTTTTCGATGAACTCATAATTATTCACAGAGTTATTAATTAATTAACTTTAAATTTTAATTAAAACTTCGGTTTCCATGGCATTGTAAAATAATTCATTATATTTTACTGGAATGTCCGATCAACGTCGCGGTAGAGTTATTTTGCAGACAATCTTTGGTTGTATATAATATGCTTCAAAAAATTTGAAAAGTTGTCCAACGATATAGGTTTTTTAAGTGAAACATTATAAAAATGAGTGCTTTTTCAATTTTTAAGCGTAAAAAGTAGTTTTTGAAAACCTCGTCAGCAATTGCACGATAAAAAAAAATTTCCGAGAAAACTTTTCGCTGGAGAATTTATAGCTGATGTCATTCTGCATGTTATAAGCAGAACGGAGTTTCAAGAAAAAATTTTGAACAGAAGTTAAATGAAAATTAAATCATTTTTAATTTTTTAAGTAATAATTTTTTAAAGTCCTTGTCATTGGAAAAAAAACTGTTCAGCTTATTCCACGTAGAATTTCATAGGGAACAACTTTTGTTGCAACAGTTTTTACGAGATATGCTTTGCGTAGTTAGAATCTGTGGCAAGGTTTTGGGATGCGTATCCTTGCAACAAGGGCTTTCGAAATTCCCAGCAATTATTGTCACAATCAATAAGTTTTAATTGTAACATAGTGGCTAGATAGTCCAAAGTGGACTCTATAATTCTGTGCAAGGTCGGCCTCTCCATCTGTTGTGGTTCTCGAATGGCAGGCATTTATCCAGCGAAATGATAACAAATTACGTGTGACTAAAGAAAATGACTGCCATTCGAGAACCACAACAGATAGAGGGGTCGGACTTGCGCAGATATGTAGAAAATACTTTGGGTTATTTAACCACAATGTTATAATTAAAAGTCCATCGCAGATTCAGAACCTGGCAACCTTATCGCTTTTCATCTGTCAGGTACACCGCCTGAAAAACCAAGATTTTTAATACAAAATATATGGGAAGATAGAGTAAAGCGTTCCCGACAAAATGCTGAAATCCGAACTCTCTATCTCTTTTCGTTCTCGAGAAAAACATCCATGGCTCCGTTTACTCCGTTTACCTAAAACCAATTATAATAACTGTTTATTGGTAACATTTTGAAAAGGCAAATACAGGGATTTGTAGTGCTTGAAAATCTCTCGTTTTTCATCATACCATAACAACAGACCAGTGGCTATCAAGCAATGTATGAATGACTTTTCTAGGATTATTTTTGACTGAGTCACAAATTTTTTAAAATGAGAACTAGGACCTACTTAATTAATTAATAACGCTGTGAATAGTTATCAGTTCATCGAAAAAACTGAAGGATATATGAAAGCAGGCGTCCTCTTTAAATGACATAGTTTGAGGGCATATATGGGGGGAGATCCCCCTTAAGCTAAAATTGCCGATTCTAAAACAATTAGGTTTTTATTGAAATATCACTGCATATGCAAAAATACATGTCGCACATGTATCTGATATGTAGAGACAACTCTTATCACTTTCTTATGAAATTCTTACTCGATTCTTATCTGCTTCTCACGAAATTCGTACAACTTTCGTGTTACTTCTCATATAAGAACCACTGGCTACTATTGAATTTATCTTCTCTCTTCCGTCATCGTGTAACATTCAGTGAGGAAGCATATTCCAATCGGGATATAGATTTTTGAGTAGTCACTTTTGTTTGAAAAAAGGTCGCTGACGGGAAAAAAGAGTTAACCATGAGGAAAAAAGAATTAGTGTAGTTTTTCCTCCTCTTTCTAAATGCTGGTGTCAAAATTTTCCCCAACCATCACTATTTTTTCGCTAACGAATTTTATTTAAAAAAATCTAATTTATATTCCGATTGGGCTATATGTCTTTTGACTATATCCTGATCGGGATATATTTTGCTTCAAAATGGGATATATATCCCGATTGGAATATAGAGCATGCGTCTCTATTGACATATGCCTTGCATTTCTTTCGTTACGTTATTGTCATTCTATGGAACGAAATAATCATTAGAGAAACAAGAGCAGTCACACTAAAACGTACAACATAACCTGTCTTTGGTTACTCTGGTTTCAGTTTATCCGAACAGATGCATGCCTAAATCAGATGAGAGCATAAGAAATATTTCAGATGAAAGAGCATTTTTCAAATTTTCTTGCACTAAGAGTACTGTGACTATATGTTTCACCCGTATATAGACCAAAATCTATATTATGGACCGTTGAATGAATAGGTTACTTTATATCTTCTACGGCAAATGCATTCATCTAGTAAAAACGATGAAAAGTCAAATATGTCTTATTTGTGAACATCTGTAGTCACAATATTATATCTGTTAACTTTGCTTGAAAGGGAAACGTGAAATTTTTGATAAAACAGGTGCCTGAATAAGAGTACAAGAAACGAATAAACATAGAACTAGTCCGAAGAAAAAAGCTGTTCTATAAAATTTTTAAGAGCTCAGTTATGACAGCATATTCAATTGCATAATCCCAGCAGCGTTTCGCATACACTTTGGATAAAAGTGTACTAAAATTTTCCTTGGAAGACCTCAGCTAGTATAAAAGTAAAAGCTCGATTTCCGAAATTCCAACGCTCAAGACTAAAAAATTCAGAACAAAAATTTTGGTAAATACATTTTTCTAAAATTCTTCATTCTTCTTAGTGTTTCTTAACAGGGGTTCGTGACGGTGACAGAAGAAATGTATAATGTATGTTATGATGACATCGATAACAAATAGTGTTAACAATCATTATTAACATATAACCAGAAAAAAAAGTACAACAACAACATGGAAACAAACAGAAGAAAACTTTATTATTGAATTATTTCTTGTTCAGTTTCATATTCCGATTGACGATTCCATTCTTGTTCTTCTCCTTTGAATAGTATACAGTAAATGATACAACCAAAGAGATGAATGCTTGCTGACAGAATGAAAATTATTTTCCAAGCGTGTATTGTTTGCTAGAAATATCAACAGATACAATCAGCTATATAATTTTTGTTGGATTACTCACATTATGATTGGTAATTGCACCAACAACAGCCGGTCCTACAAATCCAGGAATTGTAGCCAATGAGTTTGTTATTCCAACAAGTGTTCCTAGCAAAAAATGCGCTCATTCGTTATAAGATAGGTGGAAGAAAGAAATTCATAGCAAATACCTGCGTAATTTGATGCAACATCTAAATGTGATATCAAACAACCGCTGTTATGAAAACCCAAAAACGCTACAGCAAATACGGAACAAATAACTGCGCTTATGTGATTACAACCACAAAAGCCGATGGAAACCAAAAATATTGATGAACCAACTGCTCCTAGAATAAATGACAGGATTATTAAAGTTAAAAACAAGAAATTCGCTATTTTGAGCGAAAAAAAAATGAATTTAAATATAGTCTTAAAGTTGTAAGTCAATTAATCTGACGTATATGTGTTAAAGATGTCATTACCGAAGATTGTTTGTAATCTTCTTATATTTGTTATTGTTAAAATATTTTTTGCCTTAATACGTCGAACGATTTGTCCAGATATTATTGTAACTAAAAATAGGCCAAAATAAGGTATGGCAAACAAAACACCATTCTAAAGAGAAAGAAAACTCCATGCTAAACGTTAATATTAGATACGAATGCTTGTATATCACCACATTACTTGTTCTAAATTGAAATTTAATATTGTCGAAAAATAAGTTGGTAATGAAGTGAATAATGTGTAGTAAACAAAATTCTGGCAAACGTGCATTATAGAGATACCATATAAGGGAACACAAGTTAAAATCTTTTTCCACGGAGTGACAATCTTCTACAAACGAAAGCAATTATTTACTGAAAAGAATGTTAGACAGCTAGAATCACCTTTGATGAAGATGCAGTATATTTTAGTAAATACATTTTTTCTTTTGCTGATATTCTTGGATGAACAGATGGTGAATTGTAAGCAAAATATGACCAGCCAATAAACCATAAACATGACAAAATACCTTGAAAGAAGCAGTGATTACTTTAGTATTGATTAAATAAAAACATAAATTTTGGTCTGAATCACGAGTGTTACCACTGAATATTCAATGAATTAAAAAGCATACCGAAAACGTAGAATACACTAGGCCATCCTCCAAGGAATTTTGAACTACTTAATAAACTGACTAGTGGTGTCGTGATTATAATACCAAAGTTCGTTCCTGTTTGGGCTGCCGGAGGTATTGTACTACGCTCAAGCGGAGGCACCTTTAAGTAAAAATAAACGTTTATAAATTTAGCGCCAAAAGACAAAAATTTCCACTCACCCATTTACCCCATAAAGCTCCTGCAGCCGGAAACATTGGCCCTGAGGCAAATCCAATTAAAAACCGAATAGTAAATAAAAATGCAACATGTGTACGAGCAGCAACGGGAGTGAGTAATGTTAATAAGCCCGTAGCAAGTACCGCACCTAAATAACTGCATATTCTAAATGAGGATAATAGAATCTTCTATCTTTCTGATACCTCCAAGTATCCATTTTGCACCATATTTTTCAGCCAAATTGCCTGAAATTCACTTTTGTTTTGTAGGTATTAGATACAGCTTTTTTACAGCAACTTACCTCCCACTCTGAAACAATATAACAAAAGTATTTTACACGATAAACGAACCGTTGATGAAGACTCACATTTGTATGACGATGTAACCGTAGAAAAAAGCACCCAGCACTAGACCTTGGGTTTTTGGTGACCAGTGGAATTCATAGTGCTAAAAGATAAAATAACAGTGATTTTTTCTGAACAGTTATCAGCTTACCGCATAACAGTCTACTTTTTATAAATCCGTTACGTTTTGCCAACATTGTAGCCCTATGATGAAAGCTCATATGAGCTAGCTATTTCTTTCTTTTATATGAGCTTCAAATTGAATGTTTCATTAGCATGACCTAATAACTGTCTCAACGATTTTAAATCTATAAATCTATTAACTATCAGTGTTTGCTTAATTATGAATTTGAAGACGAATGTTTGCTCTTTACAGTAAGGCTCTGTATCAGTTTTCGTCGCTATACTATAGCACGATCAATATGAAGAACAAGTAAAGGTCAGCGTTCACCCACAAGCAGTTAAATGCGATCTCTCTGCGTAGATTACAATCATACATAAATTATTCGTACAAATGTCAACAAAAATTGTTTTCATCACTTACAGGTTCTGGCTTGGACGAATTTTTATTGTATGTTGGACAGGCTTGCTTTGACTGGTTTAAAGCGCTTTGTGGTGCTACCTTTGAATAGAGAGAATAGTAACAAGAGGAGATTTGAATTTTCTCTCGTCTGTACCATTCCAACAATGGCAACGGAAAGATTGACACGCGAAGCGTACAAGCAAATAAATCCAACAAAGACCCACATGGCTAATGAATGACGGGCATTAATATTTCTGCAAAACGTTGGATCTTAAAATAAAAGTTATTAATAATCAATCATAAGTCAGCATCAAAAAGAATAAAGTAAACGATCTTAAAACTAGTAACACTCACCTCTGATTCTCTGAGATCCTACTGGATGGATGCTCATTAGTCAAAATCTTTCGCACGCAAGAGAAGTTGATGGTAACAAAAAGCGCAACGTATCTTTTTCGCGTATGATGGCGTACAAGAAATACTCTCAAGAATAAAAAGGTCTCTAGCTGTCGATTAAAAAAGCCTTAATGACTAAGAATAACGTGTGCTATCTATGACCTAACGAAGGAAGATTTTCAAATGTCACTTGGATTTTTCCTTGAAATATGTTTGGTCATAGGTAATTTTTCGCGTTGACTGAAATGAGGGATGAGCGTGGCATCTGAGAATCTCCACAGATTTTGGAGACGTCTAGAGACCAGTTAAAGATCTTCTGATGAGAACAATTAGTTTCTATGATGATTGTCAACATGGAAAAAATTTATACGGAGGCTCTAAAAAATCCACTGAAAACTTTCGTTTGAGCAAGTTTTGATAGTGTCAGATAGTAGAACATATCAAGTTACCTATATGGAAAACTTTTGAGAACTAATAAACAAGTTTTCACCAATTTATGAGAATTTGAGATTTTATCTAGCTAAAAATATATTCGTCAATCATTTCACCCAAGATCGTCCTCTATGGTCGTAGAAATCCAAACGGTATTCTACAAATCACCTATAGTCTTTCTCGGGATCCTCCGATGATATCATTAGATTCTCCTCCACAAGTTTCACTCACGAGGGAACCGCCCCAGGTGCCCAACTCTGATTTCCTTCATTCATACCTCGTTTTATAGAGCATATCGAGCTGGTAAAAAGTCTAAAAGGATTTATTTTTTTTGCCCATGGCTCTTGAAGTCTAGGTTTTCTGCAAAACCAGTTTTTGAGAAATTCTAAAAGATAATCAAAACCTTTCATAATGAGGCATAATTATAGCCCGCACATTTCTGATTAAAATGAGACGTCTTCCAGCTCTACACGACCTTTCTTTGCAAAGTTATAGAATTTACAAGAAAAGTCCTAAATTAATTTCTTCTTATTTCTACAGCTCAAAGCTGTAGAAATAAGAAGAAATTAATTTAGGACTTTTCTTGTAAATTCTATAACTTTGCAAAGAAAG